CAAAGGCCATATAGAACTACGGTAAAGTATTATGGTGAAAGGGGTTTAAAGTTGAGTGCGAAGGGAGACAAAGCCAGAGAACTATATATGGGAGCCATAATCAAAGGTGGAGAGGATTAAAGTAATATAGAGAAGGAGGAGTGTTTTGCGGTCAGAACCCCAGGCCACGTGAGAGAGGGTCTGTAAGAGTCGGAGTCAACGGCAGGCTTTTTCTTTAACAGAGAGGATATGATCTCATCAAGACAGTTTGGAGTCAAAAAAGACCCCAAGGAACTACCCTGAAGATTGGAATTGAATGGGAGCATCATATAGGAATAGTGGAAAAAGATGGCTAGATCAAGGCAGGAGAAGGACTGGGTATGCATGTCGAAGTGAGTGGGGTGGTTTGAATTTAGTAAGACAAGGGCAGTATTGGAGAGAAAGTGTTCTAAGGATCGACCTCGGGAAGTAATAGTGGAGTCACGCGAGAGGACAATGAAGGTAGGTGAAGAAGATCAGTTCTGTGAGAACGAAAACCTCAAATGTTCCACTGTAGAAGGGAATGTGAGGAGGAGGAACGTTGGCAGGCACTCTGAATGTAGCCAGAATCACGGTAGAGAAATTGGAGGATGGATGAGAGAGAGCTTTGTCTTGGATCATGCTTAAAAAGTTTCTGTCCTCAAGGAATTCTGGAAGTGATTTGATTGGGGAGGTTAGGGAAACAAAGGTTCTGTATGAAGAGATGAGGGGAAGATAGGCCTCTGAGGGGTTGTGGATGTAGGTGTGGGATGGGATGTGGGAGAAGATGGGGTGGAACTTTTGGATTGTCTGTTGCGATAGGTAAGGCGAGGAGTAAGGGAAGACACTGAGGCAGTTGTGGATATTGGAGTATCTGGATTTAGTAATTATTTGCTTTTAATAATTCCCTTTACACCCAAAATGATGGTATAGCTATGGGATCACCACTTAGCCCTTGTTATGCTAGTACCTTCCTTTGCAAACAAGCTTGGCTCAATAAGTACCCTTCCAACTTCAAAATATTTTTTTTTATTGTCGTTATATGGATAACACTTTCAGAGGGGTCACTGTCAGTAGCCTCCGGGCTAGTACAGTGGTAACGTGCCGGCCTCTCATCCGAGGGGTCGGCGGTTCGCGCCCCGCCCAGGCGCGAGAAGTTGCAATTGTCGCCTGGAGGTTACTGCTGTGGCTGGGCACCACGGTGGGTAAGGACTAAGCTCACCCGAGTCAGCACCTGCTGACACACTGTCAGCAGGTGCTGACACAGGCACAGGCCGGGCTCCCCCATAGCCCGGGCGAGGCTCAGCTTCGCATATCGGACTTATCCTTGTCACTGTCAGTGATCCCTCTCATATCAATCTTTTCCATCCATATCTTAATCCACAACACCCAACATTAAATTTACTTGCGCATTTGAACAAAATAATTATTCTGAGACAATACCATTACTTTTCAGAATGACTGTTTCTCTGTCAACACAGAAACCAACATTCACTAGCCTCGGACTTCATACTTTGACCTACATACCTCGCTTATACAAAAGATAGTCTGGAAACACTTATCAACCAAGTCTACAATGTTTATTCTACGTGGGCCAGTTTTCACATAGAAGCTGTGTATTTAAAGGATTATTTTACTTCGAATGAATATCCATCCCATCTAGTTCATAAAGTTTCACACAGAAGTTACCACATTTAATAAAGACACCAAAATTATAAGACTACCATATGTCATCAGTCTTGTTAAACAAAAAAAAAAAAAAAAAAAAAAATGCAACCCTCAAGTCTGTTTCCGGATTGTTTTTCATAATAACAATTTGATTGGAAATTTTCTAAAATGGAAGAAACAACGCAACTCTGAATAATGTTCAAATATGGTCTATCCAGCTGCCAAGCAAGGGACGTGGGTTCAACCACACCATGGCTACAACACCATATCCTCGATCATAAATGCTAGTCTGTCTGGACTGACTTGATTAAACTATCCTCAGTAATCAGAGAGCAATCACATTCACAACCACCCTATTCTACGTGTGAATAACCATCCAACTGTTGAATGGTTATTTGCCTTGAACTAGCCTTTTTTAGCCCTTACAATCATACCTAGTTTTCATATTGTCTTAGTATTATATGTTTCTGCTCTTTTTAAGCATTTCTCAATATAAAATTTTGTATCTACGTTTAGAACTGATTGCATCTCCGAAAACTCTACAACAATCAGGTTTTTTTCTGCAGCACTGGTTTTCCTTTTCCTGAATCATATTCCCAAGGAACACATCTGTAACTTAATATATACAAACATAGGGCGAGACTACCCCAAGAATTCCTTTCGCTCTGAGAAACAAATATATATAGAGAGAGAGATTTGTGTATATCTATGTATAAATATTATATTGATAGATAGATCTATGTTTGTGCGTACACACACACACACACACACATATGTATGTATCCATGTATATATCAATACACACCCATTGCATCATGGTTGGCCGGTCGGCATCCGCGCGTTTTAACTGTCGTCTCTGTCGCCGCTACAACCACCGGCTTCCAGCGCCACAGGATACAGTTTATCTGTCGGAAGCTGTAGTGTTCTGGATACAATTATATCCCGCAAGAATGTGAAAAGTAGGAGTCACTGCCACCACCCATTTAATCAACGTATGGGAACGTGGTGTATATGGGAGAAGAATAATAGTGTAGAAGACCAGTTGAGTGGAAAAGAGCGAAAGAGTTTAAGTATAGTATGTGTGTGTAGTGTGTATGTTTGGTGCGAGAATATAAAGGTCGGTACGCGTGATGTAAGCCGAGGAGAGGCGTGTGCGTATACGCAATTAAGCAAGTAGCCACCTTAATTAAGATAAATAAAATCACCGTCCACTGTAGATGGTTCTCATTAGTAATGGTACCATTAGGCCAAGATAAAGTCAGGCGTTTAGAAAACAAGACATACGTGAAACATGTTTATTATGGATAAAGTTAAAAAGCAGCAGCAAAACATGGAACGATAAAACACAAACGAATAAAACAGTAAAATGAAATACAAAACGGAACTTAAAACATTCGAACTATGAAACATAAAACACTTAATAAAATAAACGATAAAACGATACAATGAAAATACTAAACGAATGATAAAAGTTAACATAAAATGAAGCCATACAGGCAAAATAAAATGAACAGTAAAACAGTAAAATTGCGAACTTGGATAAAACACAATAAAAAAAAATACGAAGATAAGAAGCACCGGCCACTCTTAGGTCACTTATGCCGAATAAATAACTTACAAATGATCTTCTCGTCCTATATTATAAATAACCTCACGACCACTTAACTTTGACAGGGGAAGGCCGTTCCGGGGTTCCTCAGGCTGTCTGTCGGCTTAGCAGCAAAATCCTCCCCTTTGTTGTCTGTTGCTTCCCACGTTAGTTCGTAGGCGGGAAAAGTAGTTAGTTGTGGTTCTTTAAGAAATCAAATGAAAAAGAAACTTCAAGACTCTACAGTTAAAAACCTAGGAATATGCGATAAAATAATTGGTAAAATGATGTAGAATTAAAATAACTAATTAAAATACTAATTTGGTTGATAAAGAATAAATGGGCCTAGGTGCTTCGTTCATTTCGGGTAAGAAAGATAAAACCATAAAAATATAATTCATTTGGTAAAAAAAAAAAAAAAAAAGGCAGCGGCCATCGTGTGTGTGCGGGCATCCTCCTCACTCGCGAGATAAAGGTTGATTTCTTGGGGCCTGGAGGTGATGTTGCTGGCCGGAGGACGTGTTATTGTACAGTTAATGTTCGCATGGGGAAGGCCTCGTTGCTGCAAAGCCGCCTCCGCAACCTCCATTGATAAAATACGAGGTAATGGTCGCCACGCACTGTTCCACCGGGTGGGAGTGTTGCCACATTTAGCTCTTTCAATTCAATTTGTTTTGTCGTTCCTGTGGGAGAGTTGGAGGTGAGAGGATATTCTGATACGTTATTACCTCCTGAAGTGATGACCAAGGATCGGACGAGGTCAAGCACTAACAAAGCTGGGGATGGGGGGGAGGAGGAGGAGGGAGAGCGGGATGGGGGAATAGGGGGGGTCCTTGAGTTGGTGGGGAAGGGGGGAGGGGGTGTTTTAGTGACTTTGACCAGTCAGTGACAGTGTAAAAATAATGAAAATAAAAAATAATAGTAATAATTCGGATAGATGAAAACAAACAAACAAACAAACAGATGAAGCCGTTTCCTTCCGTATAAACCTCATGAAGAACAACTCTATTGACCCTACCTGTTGACGCGGCAGATAATTTTAAATAATCAATCAATCATGAAGAACGGTAACATACAAAAAGAAAAAAAAAACATAAATAAACAGGAAATAAATGAAGGAATAGCGCCCCCATAGCGGGATTTTAAGCCATAGTACGCCCAGCTTGAATGGCGTCACAGTCTCATGCAAGTAGGGAAGTACGCGCGATTCAGACACTCAATCCTCCAACACTATTTTTCCTATTTATCTCCTTCTAATCTTCTCTTACGCCATCTGACGTACACGAACGAGGTTTATTCTAAAGTCCGCTTCGAAAGAGTCTTCAGTTGACCGACGTGAGTGGCAGTAGAGGTTTTGTTAAAGAGGGTTCGAGTGGTTAGAGGTAAGTTTTGAAGAAGTGGATCTCCCTTTTTGTCTTCGGTGATTGGTTGATGGCTGTTTTGTGTGTGAGTGCGTAGTGTGTGTGTGTGTGTGTGTGTGTGTGTGTGTGTGTGTGTGTGTGTGTGTGTGTGTGTGTGTGTGTGTGTGTGTGTGTGTGTGTGTTTGTGAGTTTGTGTTTGTGTGTGTGTGTAGTATGTGTGTGCGTAGTGTGTGTGTGTGCGTGCGCGTAGTGTGTGTGCGCGCGTGTAGTGTGTGTGTGTGTATGTGTGCGTGTGTGTGTGTGCATATATATGTGTGAGTGTGATATAAAGTAATCGATGAACTACTGTCCAAGAGACTAACACCCGTCGTCCGTCTCTCCCTCAGTTGCAAGGATGGGCTGCCGGGACTTTTGCGCATCCTTCTGGGAGAAAGTGAAAGCCATCTTCAACAACTGCTTGGTTTTCGCCCCGGACATCTCGTGCAACGGTCTAGTGCTCAAACTACACTACCGATGCTCATGTCTGGTCATGTTCGTCGCATTTCTCGTCGCTGTCATTCCATGGTGAGTGTCTGTCTGTCTGTGTCTGTTTCTGCGGCTGGCCATTCCCTCTGCTGTCAGTTAGTCTGTCTACTCGTCTCTTTGAGTTCTGTCAATCTGTCTCTTTTAGCATCTGTCTTTCTCTTTGTCACTTTGTCATGTTTTACTCAAATAGAAAAAAAATCCTACAGGCGATAAATGAACAGTCAAATTGACTGAAATATTGGCAGTGTTTCTGCGACACACGAAAATTTCTATTAGTAATGTGCATTTACTAAGTGTTTTACCCGCAGGTTCTCCCGTGATGTTATATCCTGCACGTCATACTTCAACTCCGAAACACAAGTTCGACTCGACTACCTCAACATCTGCATCTCGTACCCCTTCGTGGAGAAGGACGGGGAGAGGCGCTACATCCTCTTCTACAGGTGGATTTGGTGGTCGCTTGCCTTCTTGGTCGTGGTGTTCTACATCCCCAGGATCTTGTGCAGGATCTTCGACAACGGCCAGTGCAGCAGCCTCCTGAAGGAACTCTCAATCAAGGCCCGATGCCACAAGGGGCAATGGCACGAGCTGGTGGAGACAGCGGCCCAGTACCTACGCGTGAACCTTAACACTCACAACAACCTCTACTGGAAATTCCTGTCAGTAAATCTGCTGGCGCTCCTTATCGACTGCTTCGCCATAGGGTTCCTGAACATCGTCCTGCAGGGCCGCTTCATCCACTACGGGCACCGGGGCTTCCCTTACGAGAGGAACGTCACGAGCTTCACCGACGACTTCTCCCAGACGTTCCCGCCCTTCGTGTCATGCGAGCTGAGTAGTGAGCACAAACTGATCAATAGGCGAGTTGAGAGGTACGGGTGCCACTTGATCTTTATGGAGCTGTACAACAAGATATTCCTGTTCCTTTGGTACTGGCTCGTGTTCCTCGCCATCGTCGCCAGCTGCTACCTCGTGTTCCTCTTCGTGCTGTGGCTGCCGTTCGTGCGCGAGCGTTTACTCCGCCCAGCCAAGCCCGCCATCGCCGAGGAAAATGTTGGGGTGGTGGTCGCTGGGGCGCTGAGCAAGTGCATGCTCGGTGACGTGTATGTCCTCTACAGGATCAAGAGCCGCGTCAGCCACACCCAGTTCTTGGACCTCTTAAAACGGCTCTCCGAACCTAATTTCCTCAAGGATGACGCCGCTTAGAGGCTCTTGCGAACTCCAGAATCTGCCGATGAGACAGTCCCGGATCCCTTCTTCTCGTCTTGTTATTTGTTAACATGTTTCTTTGTACGCGAGGATATTGCATAGAGTAAATTTCGATAAACGTTTAGAGTAATGTTTTGAAAGAATTTGCTTTGACAGCCTGAAAGCGAGAGAAAACTAGAGAGAGAGAGAGAGAGAGAGAGAGAGAGAGAGAGAGAGAGAGAGAGAGAGAGAGAGAGAGAGAGAGAGAGAGAGAGAGAGAGAGAGAGAGAGAGAGAGAGAGAGAGAGAGAGAGAGAGAGAGAGAGAGAGAGAGAGAGAGAGAGAGAAAACAAGAGAGAGAGAGAGAAAAAACAAGAGAGAGAGAGAGAAAACAAGAGAGAGAGAGAGAGAGAGAGAGAGAGAGAGAGAGAGAGAGAGAGAAACAAGAGAGAGAGAGAGAGAGAGAGAGAGAGAGAGAGAGAGAGAGAGAGAGAGAGAGAGAGAGAGATTATTTGTGTGTATAAATTAAATTTTTATATCAAATGTTTATGCATTAATCTTGTAAAATTGTCAGTTGTGTATACAATATTGAATTATATAAAGAACTTTATTTATGAACCTTCTAAAATGTACAAATGCAATGGTAACGATAATTATAATTTTGATAAGAAATAAAGCTGACGAAAATGATTATTATTATTATTATTTATATATCTATTATTATCACTATTATTATTAACATCATCATTATCATTATTATGATTACCATTATTATTATTATAAGGATTATTATTATTATTGTTATCATTATCATTATTATTATTATTATATTATTGTAGTTATTATTATCATTATTATTACTACTATTATTATTATTAATATTAGTATTATTCTCATTAGCCTTATTATTATCATCATTGCTATTTTTATCATTATCATTATTATTATTATTATAACCAGCATTATTATTGCTATTATTGATATTATCATTATTAGTGTTAGTTAGTGTTATTGTAGTAACATTTGTGAAAGTAGTAGCAGTAGTAGTAATAGTAGTAGTAGTAGTAGTAATAGTAGTAGTAGTGGTAGCAGTAGTAGTAGTAGTAGTAGTAGGAACAGAAATTGTAATATTTGTTGTAGTTGTTGTTGTGATAGTGGTCGTAGTAGTAGCAGTGGTAGTGGTGTGATAGTAGTAGTAATAGCAGTAGTAGTAGTAGTAGTGGTATCAATTA